CGCCACGCCCCCTCGCCACGCCCCATTCACTCACACGCCGTTTCTAACAGTTCCCTGCGTGATTTTTTACTTTCTCGTTCGGAGGAATTGACTGGGCGCAGTTTACTGAAATGCACTCTCTGTAGTCTAAACGATTTTAACGACAAACACGGAAATTCCGCGATCTCTCACAACCACTCATTTGGATCAGCACAACGCAGAAATGTAAGTTCACCACGTGTGTACGTCTACGATAGTTCTGTGGGAAATATAGTTGTTCAAATTATCGTTCGCCATGTTCTAATGGCAAGGAGTCAATTCCTTTACGAGGGCACGTTGAGGAATAAAAGCCAAAATATATTGCTGATTTGCCTTTGCAAATAGTGTTTATTAAACAGGACCGAATGTTTCTTATCAATTCTTGAGAAAAATGCTTTTTTTTCATCTGTATTCAGAATTTGACTAGTATATGGGTTAGGTTATGAAACCCCCAATTTGTAGAATACACACACAGAATACACCGCTCCCCATAGTTTGTCGCACACACTTTTTAACTGTTTTTGACGATAAATAGAAAGAATTAAGAAGAAAGTCTCCCCGGACTTGAGCTTTTCGCTCTAAACCATTCCTTAGCATCTCGCGATCAGAGCTAAAACAACTATTGCCTACAACTGTCTACGAAAAATAAAACACAAGCTACCCATATTATTACTGATGGGTACAACTTTATCTGTCTACATCATACTGGCATTCCCAAACAAACGTATAAAATGCGCACGTTCTCCAATTCCACAGCGGAGAGCGACATGAAAGATGGTTCTCCATTGGCCACTTGATCGGGTGGACATGTATATTAAAATTCTGCGCTGTTTTAATTTTAATAGTGTATTATGCAGCTAGTTTATAATCTGAAGCTTAAGTATGTATTTTGAAAACGGTGTTAGGAGCAATTTTTAAATGTGTACGAATACAATAAAGCAACTTTATAAACTAATTATCAACATTATCTTCTATATAACAGCATTACATATTTATAAGGTAAACAAAGTTAATTTTTGGAAAGAACTTTAATGACGTTATGAGAATTTGACGCCAGTGCGAAAAAACGGTGGATGGTTTTTCCGTGTACCGCTACCTCCCCAAGATTCTCTCACTGCGATTTGTTGAATGCGTCATGTCGCAATTGATCGTACCATAAACGTCATGAACGTCATAACATGTGCCAAAAGAACGATATTTTGAATGAACGAGCGTTTTATGAACGATTTCTTGTAATGAAAAAGGCCGTTTATAATGCTGGAATACAAAAAATAAATTAGACATTTTTGTTGTCGTTATTAACATTTACAGTACCCTAATGTCCATGTCCATCTGACGAATTGGTCAAATCCCCATTAAGATTAAATTCAATAACTTGATGGACAATAGAATATTTAAGATAAAGTGATGGCGCTGCCTACGTCACAGCTTTAACTGACTGTGCCAACTGTTGATGTGGGCATAGCGCGCAACCATGTGTGATATCAACTTACAAGTGACATGATAATCAGAATCATACGAATATTTGTTACTTTCCCTCACTGTGTTTCCTGCAACATGCCTAGACTATGATGTCAACTTCTATTAATATTACCTATTCCATCTTTCCTTGAATAGCCAACTTCCCATTTCTGCATGTTAGCCATTGTTAGGTGGAAGAGGAAAAAATATGTCACTCCTTTCAGTAGCCCTCATGTCGACAATGTAAATCTTATTATTGGGCTTTTTAATTTAAATTTTTGTAACAAGTGTTCATAACACTTTTTTTATGTAATTGGATCTCAGTCGAGGCTCTCTTCCT